TCCTACTTTTGAACATTAAGTTGCTTCTAATTCTCCATGATTATACACAGCATTTTAATGAACAAATTAGTACATACAGTCTTTTCCATATTTAAGATTATATCCTAAAAACAGAGTGGCAAAAGTAGGATTACTGGATAAAATACATGAGTGAGTTACGGCTTTTGATTCAAAATGCTAAGTTGTGCCCTAGAAAGTTTTTAGAAATAAAGAGACTTTTTCTAGGCCAATAGAAATGGACCAATGAAGAAGAAGTAATTACAAATGTGTGTGTGAGTGAGTATGTATGTATATGTGTTTGTATGTATGTATGAGATGTACAGGGTCAGCAAAAAAAGGTGGATCCTCTACAAAATGGACTGACACAGTGGCTGCAACAATGGGCTCAAACATAGCAACAACTGTGAGGATGCGGCAAGATCAGACAGCATTCTGTTCTGTTGTACATACGGCTGCTATGAGTTAGAACTAACTCGATGGCACCTAACAACAATAACAACAAAATGTATGGGATGGGGTGGGCAGATGGATGTAGAAAACAGAATTTGCAAGGATCCTTCTTAACCTTAGAGGTTAACCTTAGAATTTAGGAAATCACTTTATTGTCTGAGCAGGTGAGAAAACAAAATGGGTGGTTCTAGAGAAATTTTGAAGCAGGGGTGAGGAAAGTTGTTGAAACACAGGCTGGCTGTCCTAACTCATCAAAAGAAAGCAGGGGATAAGGTTTTCTTCTGAGACAGACACAGGCATGAGCTAGGAGTTTAGGGAGCAAGAGAAAGTTTGGGAACACGGCAATCATTAGAGATAAAAAAGAGCAGTCTAATGCTCTGATTGGTACTTGGCAACCACTAATTTCTGAGCTTTGAATTATCTGTAGTCTCTTGGTCTCTGATAGTCATATCTGTGAAAGGACAAAGGGGAAAGTACCCAGACAGTTCCACTTTAGAGTTACCAAATCTGTAAGATGTGTTTTTAGGTCTACATCATATTCTCCTCTCTGGACGTGTGTTGGGCTAGTAAGATCAGTACAAAATTATTACTGTCTTCAGTTACTTTCTTCCCATTTTCTCTTGAGAATGGCTTTTGCTCCCATCTCTCCAATAAAGCTGAACTTATTAAGGTCACTAGTGACCTTCACCTTGATCCAATGGTCCAACTCCCATTCTTCTACTTGATCTATCATCTGACCCTCCTTGCTGAGGTATGTGGTTCACTTAAGCTTCCTAGACACTAAACTTACTTTCCTTTTCTTCTACTTTTCTGGCTGCTCCTTTCTAGTCTCTTCTGCTGGTAGCTTTTCATCTCCCCATCCTCTAAATGTTGCTGTGCCTCAGGACCCAGTCCTTGGATCACTTCTCTTTTCTATCCACACTCGCTCCCCAGGTTATCTCACCCAGTGTCATGGCTTTAAATATCATCTATGTGTTGATGACTTCCCACATTTGCATCTCCAGACTGAACATCTTCCCTAATCTCTTGAACTAGAAATCCAATAGTTTCCCTGACATCTTAGATGTCTACTGGGCTGCTCAGTCTCAACATGTCCAATACTGAACTCATGATATTACTCCTAAAACTTCTCCTCTCTGTCTTCCCCACTTCAGTAAATTGGCAACATCAATGTTCTAGTTGTTCAGGCCAAAAACCTTGGTGTCATCTTTGACTCCTCTATTACTTTCATACCCCACACCTAATCTTTCAGCTAATTCTGTCAATCCTACATTCAAAATATATCCAGAATCCATCCATTTCCCCCTACCTCATGACCACTGCAATGCACAACTTCAGGAGGAACCATTTGCATTTTTGTTGATGTAAACAGTGCCCCACGGAGGAGCAGTCTACAGCCTGCCAGGCAGTATGTGCTGGCTCTGATATCACCATAGTTCAAACCACCATCATCTCATACTGATATTATCTCAATCGCTTTTTAACTGTCTGCCTGCTTCTGCCCTTGCCTACTTACTATTTTCAACACAGTAGTCGAACTGAATTTAAGTAAGTCAGATCATGTTACTGCTCTACCTAAAACCCTCTGATGACTTTCCATGTAACCCAGAGTAAAAGCTAGAGTCCTTAAATGATCTAAAAGGCCTACTTCACCTGCCTTCCTCTTCTCTATTACCTCTTTTGCTTTGCTCACTCTCTATCAACCACATTCCTGTCACTGTGGTTCCCTGAAACATTCATTCCAGATTAACATTTGCCTCAGGCCTTTGCACTTGCTATTCTCTCTGTGTGGCCCACTCCCTCACTTACTCTAGGTCTATACACTCAAATGCCAAATTCACAGTGAAGTCTTCTATGACCACCCTATTTAAAACTGCATCGCCTCACAATTACTATCCCGAAACCAAAAAAGAACCCATTACTGTCAAGTCGATTCTGACTCATAGTGACCCTATTTCCCTAGTCCCTGCTTTACGTTTCTTCCTAGTATTTATCACTATCTTACATAATTTGTTTTACTTATTTTGTTTATTGTCTATCTCCCTTACTAGAATGTAAGTTCCACGAGGGCAGGGATTTTTGCCTGTTTTTCTCACTGCTGCATCCCCATGACCTAAAATATTTCCTGACACATAGAAGACACATAATTATGTACAAGTTTTCTTCTTCTTCTTTTTTTTTCAGCTCTAAAAAGAAATGTTTGGTCAGGGTGTAAAGAACTTGAAATGGGGTAGGGCAAGGGTTTGGAAGAGATTTGGGGAAAATAAAATTAGAAGGTTAAAAATAAATGGGAAGTTAAAAATAAGTGAAGATGAACAACTTCACTTTCAGGGTGTAATCTAAAAACTAGTCACTGTTATATTCCCCAGCTCTTTTCTTTGTGGTTACCTTGTGAAGATTAGATTTAAAAATTTATGGAATATGAGAGTTAAAAAAGATCTTAGAGAACACCCTCACTTTACAGATGAGGAAGTTTTTCTTCTAAATTGTGTTGGTAGGCTTTTAAATTATTCATTGCAACAAAGACATGGTCCAGTTAGCTCACTTGTGTTAACATGTAACACGTGCAATGCTGGAATTTGGAAACTGGTGATTAAGGTGGGGTAAATACTTTCACATAAAAAAAGAACAAAGTAGAATTAGGATCTCTCATCCAATTGTTTTTAAACAAGACTATAATTTTATCATTAAAACACATATTCTAAGGAATAAATGTACTTTTCCACTGCTATTAACTATTAAACCAGTTGCTATTGCATTGACTGTGACTCATGGTGACCTTATGTGTGTCAGAGCAGAACTGTGCTCCACAGGGCTTTTCAACGGATTTGGAGGCACCTCTGGGTGGACCTGAACCTCAAACCTTTCAGTTTAGCAGATGAGCACATTAACTGTTCGCATTACCCAGAGACTCCTGTTAACTATTACTACCTAGTTAAGATACTATTCCTGGTGGAAAAAAAAATAGATTTGTTAAGTTCATATAGAAAGGGATTTGAACTGAGAAATATATTCTTTTCAAGCTATAAAGTAATGTCTCAGACTGCTAGTCACTGTGTCTACTGCAGATAAGCAAATCACAGGCCACATAAAGAGCTAATGAAATTAGCATCATTTATTTTACCAAAAATTTACTTTCCCAATAAGAAATATTAAGTAATCAATGTTTAACAAAAAATAGTTCATATGTAATGGTTCCAAGGAGCCCTGAAGGCACAGTGGTTAAGCACTTGGCTGCTAACCAAAAGGTTGGTGGTTCAAACCCACCAGCTGCTCCATGGGAGAAAGATAAGGCAGTTTGCTACTGTAAAGATTACAGCCTTGGAAACCCTATGGGGCAGTTCTACTCTGTCACTATGAGTTGGAATGAACTCAACAGCAATAGGTTAATGGGTCCAAAGCTTAAATTTTTTATTTTGTGAACTGTATCAGTTATGGGTATGAGGATTATTTCTGTCAGTTCCAGCTGATCAGTTTACTTCTAGAAGCAAAGTATCACCATATTTTAGTGGGAAAATCACATAAACATGTTTTCCTCTGGATTTGCATTTAAGTATATTTTATTTAGGGCAAAATCAGGGGTTGTCCTTGAGCAGACACAGAAACTGACAATGAAAATAGATGGCCTGTAAATTTTGTTAAATGTATGGAAAACCTAGCCTGGGGTTAAAAAAACTGTCAGAGGTAAAGTAGATCAGAGGATTCACACACCGATCAGTAAGAACGGATACTGACTATTTTTATTAGAGATTCTACTTCATGTTATATTATAAAATTTCTCTTTAGTGATTTTTCATTAATTTTTAAAACTAAAAAGAATTAGAAAACAGATACTTGTGTTACCATGTGACATTTTTCAATGAAACCGAAGCACACAAGAAAAGTGGATGATGTTTATTAATACTTATACTGAAAAATCTTTAGTTATTGACTAAAAGAGCTTCCAAAAAATTACATACCAAATTAATGACCCATGATTCAGGCCTGAGGCAACTGTGCAGGATATTAATTTCTTTTTTGTTTCTAATTAATTTGGAAGAAAATACTTTTTGGAGTGAAGACTGAAGATTTGAAACCGAATTTCTGAACACAAAGAGCTTGATTGCTGATCATCTTTCCCTATATATTTTTCTTTCACCTCACTTTAAATTCATTCACTAAAATGTGTTTTTTTTGTGTTTTTTTTTTTTTTATATAGTCATAGAGACAAGAACAAACAGAATGGGGGAAAATATAAAAAAACACTTTACTAAAAATTTTATTCCAAAATAAAATTTTAAAATGCCTGAAAGCATGAGATAAAAATCAAAGCAATTTAGAAAACATGGGAATCAGTGTGTGCTATCTCTGGTTCCTCCAGCAGTACAGACTATTTCTCAGTCTCTATTTTGATATTTACTACAAAAAATACAAAGTATGTATACTTAGTAGCTCTAAAGTCTTATAATTCTGTGAAACTCAAGACTCTGAAATTATTTTTTGATTTTTTTGCAAAGTAAGGAAAAGAGATATGATATTCCGTAACTAATTTTATACAAATAGTCACTTACCACAAGACCATCTTGATTTTCACTGAGCTCAGAAAGCTTGGTACTGGATTTCTGACGTTTAGGTTTGCTCCTTTCACCACCATAACCAGAACAATTTTCGTGTACTTTTTCGACTTCTTGAGCATTCAAAATACAGTCATCAAGGTCGCTGAATTTAGAAGGAATATTTTCTTTGTTGACAAGTCCCCTTAAATAGGAAAAAAAAAAAAAAACCTACTTAATTTTATTTTAAAAGGTAAAAGGGACATTTAATAACACTGCCACACATCATATAAGAAGTCAGAAGAGTGCCAAGAAATTCCAGGTTGCGTCTTTGATCAAAGTCTGAGTCGAGGACCACTCCTGAGACCACTTGATGCCAAATAAACCACATTAAAAGAGAAATTATTCCTAGAGGCAAACTGGCAAGGGTTATGTTTCCACCAATGAACAGCTTTTATATTTGTATCAAAAGCAATTTGTATTCAAATAGGGAGACAAGTGCAACTTTACACAAAAATTTCCCATTATTCACAGCAGATTGTTTTTAATCTTATAAATTAATATAATGTATGGAAAAAATGTGAAAAAGGAATACGATATCTTTTCTAGAATGGGACAAATTGATTTTCCCAAATGATGAAAGCATTTTAGCACAGGAGAAATGGATTAAATATATTTAAATCTCACTGAATCAGATAATCTTGATCGAAATAGTATAAGTTAACAAAAACTACAGACTACAACTATAGAATTTTAACTGTAATATGTTAATTTCCAGTACAAAAAGTACCAGAATGTAAGCTTATAATATAGTGGTCCTTCATGACTTAGTTTTAGAAATAAATATGAATGTGTTCATCATACAATTTTATTCATCTGATGGCAATGCAATAGTGGTAAATATGTATGTAACAAAACATCTGCCATTTCAACATTTTTTACATGTACAATTCAGTGACATTAATTATGTTCATCATGTTGTGTAACCATCACCATTAACCGTTTCCAAATTTTTCCATCACCTTTAACAGGAGGTCGGTGTCCCCTGAGCAATAACTCCCTCTTTCCCCCTCCCTTCTGCCCCTGGCAACTACTAATACACTTTAGTCTCTATACATTTGCCTATTCTAGATATTTCATGTAAGTGGGATCATAAAATACTAGTCCTTTTAGCAAACTTGTTTTTACTATAACATGGAACAAATTAATCTGTCAGTGCAGCCCCTGTCCAAATTACCATGACTTGGTAAGGTACAGATGAGGTTTGACTTTCCCTCATGTTGTGACTGAGTTAACGCACCTCCCCAGACATCTAAAGCTGCATCTTGAAATAAACGAGCTCTAAAAAGTAAAAAAAGATGACTGTATTTTACCATCAGCTCAACCATATAAAAAATCAAGGATAAAGTTACTTATTCTGCAATCTAAATTCACAGCCTCTTAGGCTATAATGGAGACAAAATTATGAAATAAATATTATCATAATATATTCAAAGTTATGATATCTTTGGTAATTTTTAACAGTCTATATTTAATTTAGTCTTATATTCTACAACTTTCAAGGTAAAATATACATAGGTTTAGTGAAATTACGTACAAGGTTTATGCAACGTTTTAAAGAAATACCCAAAGTGTGAAATAATCAAAGACATGAGGAAAAGCTAATAGAAACTAACATGCAAGGATATATACTCATGCAAACACTCTTAAATCTCTCGCCTCCACCCACTGAGAGCAGTGCCATCTGTGGAAGGCTGGATGAACTCAGTCTCAAACTCAAAATTATTTGCTTTACTACATATATTTTGTTTTCTTATCTCTCTTCGTATTTCCCCTAACACCTAGGCCATCTGTCCAATTATAAATTTTTTTAATAAAGGGGCTTTTGTATTTGAAAGCTAAAAATTATTTTAAAAACTTAAGACAAAGTTCATTTTCTAATCTCTTTGAGTAGTGAATGAACAACTGGAATAAACCTTACCAAAAAAAAAACACATAGAAATCTTATCATGCAGCTGTCTCCTGTGAAAATCTCTTCTCCCCAAAGGTAAGTCTTTGCTTTAGTGCATGTCAATGTGTGTCAGCTCTAGTACCTATGTGCTTGTGGAGCACCTGTTCACAAGTCCTTCCTGCCACATCTTGACAGGTTTCAATCATGTCTGACATACCTTAGATTTGAACTGAACTTAGATTTCTGTGGCTTCTCATTTCAATTATCAAGATTTCATTTTTAGTTTTTTTTTTTCAGGGTTTCCTCTTCACCCCTACCTAAACACTTAATGTTGTAGCAATACTATTTTTTATCCCTTAAGACAGCTTGCTTTTCTTTTTTTACTTTGCAGTAGGAACTTAATGTAACATTAATATAAAAAGAAAAAATTTCTTTGTTGCATAAACATAATTTTCCACTTCATTATCTTTTGGAAGACTGAAACCATTTTCACTTAAATGATGCGTTGCTATTGAAAAACAATTATGATAAATTTCAAACATATAAAAGTGGAGAGACTATTACAATGTAATCAACAGGATTCAATAATTATCAAATGTTTCCCATGTTTGCTTCATCCTTCCAGTTTATTCTTTTAATTTCTTCTTTTCATTTTTTTAGAAAACATGCTATTATGAAAAATTTCAGACAAACAAAATAGAGTATTTATGTACCTATCATCTGCTTTAATAATCATCAACTTTCTGGCTTTCTAGTTTCAGAGTTTCCTTTTTTCTTCTTTTCTTTTGTTTTCTTAAATATTTTAAAGCAAATCCCAGCCATCATGTCATTTTATCCCATGTCAAAATACATCTCGAAAAATATGGGCATTTTCTTATTTAGCTACAATGTCATTAGTATACATAACACCAAAAAAAATAAAAACAAAAAAAACAAACCCACTGCTGTCGAGTCGATCCGGCTCATAGTCATAGTGACCCTACAGGACAGAGCAGAACTGCCCATAGGGTTTCCAAGGAGTGCCTGGTGGATTCGAACTGCCGACTTTTTGGTTAGCAGCCATAGCGCTTAACCACTATGCCACCAGGGTTTCCTATTACACATAATACCCAGTCCAAAATACAAGTTACTTGATTGTCTAAAAAAAAATGTTGCTTTTACAAATGATTCAACCATGACTTCGTATATGCTAGAGCCCTGGTGGCACAGTAGTTAAGAGCTTGGCCGGCTGCTAACCAAAAGGTCGGCAGTTTAAATACACCAGCCGCTCCTTGGAAACCCTAAGTGGCAGTTCTGACCTGTCCTATAGGGTTGCTATGAGTTGGAATCAACTCAACGGCCATGGGCTTGTATATACTAGCCTCTCTACCTGCAACAATCCTCCTCATCTCTCTGCTTGGTAAAATACTATTTCATTATTTGAAACCCATCTTAGACATCGATTCCTCAAAGAACCCTTGATAGTGCCTCCCTCCCCTGGGTGTTAAACACTGCTTCCTCTATGCTACCTTTTATCTTGCATATAGAGGCAGTGCTTGCTTTGCACAGTTCTGATATGCACAGATTTCAGTTACCATGGGTTACTAAAATAACACCAATCCCCCAACACCATGGTTCGAATTGCAACCATCACTCTATGTTAACTGTGAGTAACTGCATAAAGAACAGGCTTTACTGTTAGCTCTTCAGTACACAAATCAGTACATGAATAAAAGATGTGCATCATGATCAGTGACCAATCATGTCACTCCTTTCAAGTCTGTCAGTGATCGGTTACTGCCCCTCTGCTATTCTGTATATGCATAGACAGCAAAGTGTGTACTTGTGTTACCTCTTTGTCTTCCAGTGATAAAGTCACATGGTATTTTTCAAAAATGAATAATCAGAAGAAGGAATTAGTCAACAAACATGAAAGTGCAGCAAAGAAGCAAAAAGCTGTAATTCTGGAAGTGAAATTCAAATTTAATGTAAATGGAGATACGGAAGAAAAAGCTGACTGTGGGAATGTTGACACAGCTACTATTCAAGTGACTCTAGATACAGTCAGAGGAACTCAGTGAAGGTGAACTTACTGGCCTAAGTGAGGAAAGCGATTGTGGTGAAATGGATTAAGAGGTCCCAGAGGAAGTATCCTGGCAAAAAAATTCACATTAAAAAAACTCTCAGAGATATTTCACAATGTTGAAAGTACAAAAGATACAAGGTTGGTAGCTGATCATACTTAGAAAGGAGTATGACAGTTTGCCAAGGCACAGAAAAGATGCTCATTCCATATCATAAGTTAAAGAATGAAATGAAGGAAAACACTGTTCAAACTATTATGTTTTTTACAAAGAAATAAAACACTTTAATTCTCAATGTTTCCAATGTTTTAAATTACAGTATATGAAATAAATAATTTTACTTTTTTTCATTTTCCTATGCATTTGTAAATGACAGCAAGAATTTTTAAACAAAAATTTTTAAGGGCTGTGGAACAATTGTAACTTTTCCTGCTGATTAAGACCACTCTGCATGGTTTTGGCTTGCACCGTCATTTTTATGGTTTCACATTGCCCTGTTAGTGGGGACTGCTGTACTTCTAAGTAATGTTGATTGGTCTGTTTCTCCTGCTACGACTTGACTTGGTTCTTTGAGTGCAGGGTCTGTTAGTGGTTAGGAGACCTGGCTCTGCAATCAGATTGCTTGAGTTTGAATCCAGCTAAGTAGCTAAATGACTTCAGAAAATTTAATGTCTCTGTGCCTCAATTTGAATATCTAAAATCATAGGATTGTTTAGACAAACTATTTGCACCAAAATATTTATAGCCTTAAACTAGGCTCTGTATTACCATGATGACTTTAGTAGAGACTTTACTGACTCTTTAATCTCTCCTTGAAATAAGATCATCATTGACTTCAAAGATATTTTTTAGTTGGTTGCATTTCTAAGTTGTTAGAGGCAAAATTTTAGATAATACAAATGGATTTCTGTTTTCAAAACACTTTTCAACCATTCTGTGGAGCTAATAATTTTGAGTAGACTATAACATACTCTAGCTTAACCTTTCCTTTTTTTTTTTTAAGCAAGGCCTGACTAAAATCTTAGATAACTGAATCAATTATGTATAAGCATTAAACAAATAATTTCTTTTATAAAGATCAGCACAAAGCTGGTTCCTATGAGGTGGAGGCTAAAGATGTCCCAAATGTCCAACTTTTCCAAACTGCTGTACCACTCCATCATCTCCAACAACAATTACTCCCTCTCCCCTCAGCACTCTCCCTCCCATCTTTGGGTTTCATAATTCGCTGCAACGTCTCACAGAACTCCTGCACCATATAAAGGAAACGGCTCATGTGGTTGTGAAGGCTGGCAAGTCCCAAATCCTTGGGTCAGGCGTAGGCTTCTCGCAACCTATGTGGCTGCAGGGGCTGACAAACCCAAACTGGCAGTTCAGACCACAGGCTGCTGGCTCACAAGGCTGAGGAAGCTGGCAAATCAGGTCAGATGACAGAGGCTGGTGAATCCCAGAATTGGCAGGTCAGACAGCAGTCCTCTGACTCAAGTCCCAAGAACCAGAGGTCAACTGATCAGGAATCTGACATGGGATCCAGATTTAGAAAGAGAGTCCCACCAGGACACACATACATATCTTAGATGCAGGCCACAACCCAAGGAAGGGTGTAACTTGAGTAAGGGTGGGACTTGAGTCATGCTGTTTAGCAAGGCTTCTACTCAAGACACACCATAATACCATAAAACCAATCTTGCCTTATCAACATGTAGAGGTCAGGATCCACAACACATAAAATGGAAGACAACCACACAATACTGGGAATCATGGCCTAGTCAAGTTGACACATAACCCCAATCATCACAGGTTCCATATACCTTATTTGGATTGTCCCACTCAATCACTGTGTGTGAGTTACAAAGATAATGGCTAGAAGGGCCATATGAAGTATTTCATGACACTACAAGCATATATGAAGAAAAACATAAATATCTACTATAGGCTATAATAATGATTCTCAACCTTCTTAAAATCTATGATAATCTCCTCAGGACATACTGGAGAGGACATTCATGGGGGCTTTTGAAGTCATTGAAAGGGAGGGGTTAAGAGAGGGATCTGAGACCAAAGTGGGAACACTGGAATAATCAGCCTGCTAGAAAAGTATTAAAAGCAAGGAAGTGAGCAGAAGGAAAAGAATAGATCTAGAAAGAAACAAGATTGGAATAAGGGTCATGGATCCAGAAAGATGAGTAAAAGGATGAGAGCACCCTGAATTAAGGCAGGGGGAGAACGGGTTGGAAGAAAAGATAACTGACCTACGGTCAAAATTGAAACAGGCAAAATAGTGGATCTGGGGCTCTGAGAGGCAAGGAACTTGCCCTTCTAAAGACCTAGAGATCAGAGAATCAGCTCACTATGAGCTAGAAGTTAAAGAAGGGGGACTATCAAAACAAGATAGTGACCCAGTGTATCAGGGTATGAGGAGGAACTCATGAATAGTGGAATGATACAAACAAAGAACATATGAGACTTCTAAATGCTTAAACCACATATCAAGGACCAAGAGTAAGGCAAAACTATTTGTAGTTACCTCAACTATGTATTGTTTGTACCCCCAAGATGCCCCTACTTCACACACAGCTGTGCATTTGACCAGAATGAGTGTGTTATAAAGCAGCCGACATAGTGGTGAAGAAAAATTGAGGAAAAAGCTAGAGTTCCATGGTCAGTCTTTAGATGATTAGTCTCCACCATTCTCCATCTCTTTTGTTCCCCTGATGTTGCCAGTAAAAAAACATAATCAAGATATTTTATACTAGTAACATCCCTGGATTGGGAAAACCTTTAAATTTAAATTATATTTAAATTCTTTAGGAGAGGTTATTCTATGTTTATTTCTCTGCCCTGTTTAGTCTTTGTCCATTTTTGAGGCCCCCTCCCCCGCCACCCTCTTCCCTTGCCCGCCCCTAAAACCCAGCATCGCCACCACACGTCAACCTCTGTTCTCTCTATCATGGTAACTACCATTTCCAACCTCTACTTGCTGTCCATCTGGCCAAAGTATGTAGAAAACAGGATGTCATGACACACAAAGGATATTTTAAAAATGTAAAATGTTACCACATACTATTTGGCAAAAAATGAGGCAGAGGATAAGAACTGTGTTACATGAATAATTTGTACTTGCTGTATAATAAAGTATAGGCAGTAAACAAACTAATTATGCTCTCTAAAAACTTTACAGCTCAGTCAGTAGCTAATTTTAAATGTAAATATCTCCTCTATTACAATTTTTCCATTTTCTAAATGGAATATTGCAACTCCTCCTCCTAGCTACCAGCTTCAAGACAAAGTTTTTAAAAAACTACCGCATATGCTACTTGAACAGTCAGTTGCCTATATCACTGATACTGTTTTATTTCTATAATTACATTTGTTAATATAGCCCTTAAACATCTAAACGATGTGTAGCATGGAATTTATTTGTATTATTTATTTTTTTGTATCTTTCTTTAAGCAAAAAAAGTTCCCTTTTTTTTTCAAAAAGATTTTGATGTTGATTAAGAGTCCAGGTGAAAAAGAATGAGGGGGGCTATGGTCTGGTTTAGTCTTTGACATTTAATAAAGAGGTCAAAACAATAACTTTATGGAGACTAAATGTTACAGTAGATAAAAATAAACTTGGAACCTTTCAGAAAAATACCATATAACTACAGTCCATTATATATAATTATTTTCCTTGAAAATTTAAATCATGATTATTATATAATATGAGTGATAACTGCTTAGCTGTATTTCATCAAATCCTTTAATGAAGAATAAAGCTCCCTATGCTTGAAATTTATGCTGTGGGAATTCTTAGTCTTTAAAATAGTAAAGAACTTAAGCATTTCTTCTTTTGATTAAAGTTCAACCTTTCTTATTACAAAATATAGCCAACAGTCACAGTATTACACTGATAATCTAGTACCTAATCAGGTCAATATACCAGGGAAATATGCTGGTTCATAAGCTGATCAACTGAATGTTGACTAACATAAAAAAATCAACTTTGTTCCCGGATAGGCACATGGTAGCTTCTTGCCCCATGGTTCAGGACCCCTCTGAACAAGATATGAGATTTATTAAATCAGAGGCAGCTTTCTACATCAACCCAAACATATAGAAGAAACTGAAATAATTATTCAATCACCTGTGAATTCCCAAATGTTAACTAAGCTTAGAATGGTCAAAACAAAAACTTTTAGTTTTAGCTTAAATACTGAAGTGGGAGAGGGCTAGGAGGTGTGACTATAACATGTTGACTAATTTAGGTATCTATTTAAAAAAGAAGACAAAGAGAAAACTCAAGTAAGAAAAAGTACTAAAGCCAACTCACATGTCTTTGGCTCTTCGAATTTCATCCTGTTCCTTGGGCTGGCGTCGTCGCTGTTTGGTAGATGCTGTGGAAGATGTTGATGATGTTCCAGATTCTGAGTCCTCTGAACTTTGACCTCCTGAGCTATTAACATCAAAAAGATGCTGTTCTACAGCTGACCGGATGGTTCTTTCTAAGAGTCTGGCAAAAACAAACAACAAAAAAAAAACAAAAACAAAAAAACCAGAGTTAATCAAGCAATCAAGTTTATCAATGATTGCCTTTAAAAGTATGTGCTCATAACTTTGAAAATATCTTTACTGGAACCAGTGGAAGATCTACTACATCTTGTTGAGCAAAGACAACATACAAAGCATTAATCTCCAAAATATTTGTATCATGTGCTAAAAACAAAACTAAACTAAACAAATTCCACCAAGTTGATAACTGTGTTTCTCATCTTCCTGAGTCCAGGATTACTGAAATGCTCATGGCAAGTACAGCAACAATTATAGAGGCATTCATGTAATATAAGGCAGAATGAGGAAAGGTTTTTTTTTTCTTCCCCCTCATAGAATAAAGACCTTATTCTTAAAAAAGACAAATTTCCTCCAAATTTCAAACTAGCTCTGCAGAGGAAGACAGTATGATTTACAAAGCAAACTGGCAAAAATAATTTTATGATGTCCATTATCTATTTAGAATCCCTTTAAGATAAAATTATATAGGGAATAATGCTATTATAAAGAAAGAAAAAAACCTCACTGGAACAATTACTACTCATAATAGCCTGGCATAATCTTTCCTAAACTCTGTTCTATTAAGTTGTGACGTATATAATTGAAACTATATTCATACGAACACCCCAAAATAGATTATTGAAGTTGTAAGGACAGATTTACTTTGTTCAACCCGAGGAAAATAGGTAAGCACAAAGGGCTGAAAAGAGTGCGTGATGAGATATAAATGGTATCATTTTTAAAGCTGTATAATCCTTCAGTGTGTCTAAACCTTCTTTTATCACCACACTATTAAATTCTGAATACTCTGACAAGCAAAATTCTAAACTTATGCTCCTCAGAATAGGTTTTTCTTCATTTAAAAAAGATATAAATACATACATACGTACACACACATATATATACTTGTTTAAGATTGAAAAGTAGCATTGACTTAAATGTTTCCAAAAAATCAAAGAACTTTAGATTTTCCAAATGCATTTTTATAATAGACTCATAGTAATTTTATTCAAAATTTATAAAAATATCTAAGACAATGAGCAAGTATAGTCTAATAATTTGACCATTAGAAGTTTTATATTTAGGACTCCATGTCCCATATGATTCAAGATTACATAACAGTGGTATGGAGGAATGTGAGTAAATTAATATATATATATATACAGACCAATTCCATGACTTTTGCAAACTACACAGGACATATAAAAAGGAAAGACTGTCAAGAAACAAAAAAGTAATAACTTTCCATCTGGGCATAGTCTGGGATCTCTTTAAAATTCACAAAGCTAGGTGAGGTCAATCCTGCCCTCTAATTGCTTCCTCAGATGACAGAAAAAGAAAAAAAAAAAGAAGCAAATTCATCTTGTTAGATGCAAATTCATTCCAATTAGTGCTTGTTCTAATTCTTCTCTCTTCCTCCCTATCACATCACATCCTCCCTTCCTTCTACAGTTGATCCCTGCTGATGGAGATGCTCCAGAAAGGCCCACACATGTCCCAGCAAGAAAGGAAGAGAAGTAGGTGTGATGGAAAAGTCTTCGGACAAGGAACTACTCATTAAAGTCATTAAACAAATACGTATTTAAAGCCCAATACAAGCCAGACACTTTATCTAGGTGCTAGGGATACAACAATGACCACGATAGACAAGGTATCTGTTTTTTGGAGCTTATATTCTTGTGGGACAAGATAGACAATAAGCAATGTAATTTCAGATAGTGACATATTCTCTACAAAATAGAATAATGGGATGGATAGTGACTATGGATAGTCAGGGATGGCTTCTCAGATGAGATGACATTTGAACAAAGAGGTGAGTGATAAGAAAGTGCTAGCCATGCTAAGGAACAGCCAGTACAAAGGTTCTGAGGCAGGAATAAACCCATTGCTGTTGAGTCAATTGCGACTTATGGTGACCCCATGTGTTACAGAGTAGAACTGTACTCCACAGAGTTTTCTTGGCTGTAATCTTTACAGAAGCAGATCGCCAGGCCCTTCTCCTGCAGTGCTGCTGGATGGGTTCGGACCTCCAATCTTCAGGTTAGTAGATGAGTGTAAACCATTTGCATCACCTATGGATCTTGAGGCAGAAGTAAAATCTGGCCTATTCCAGGAACAGAAAAGTCATTGACTGAAGTATAATGAGCAAGTGTTCAGAGACGTAGGCAGGTACAGATAACTGGAGTTTAGATTTTACTCCAAGTGCAACTGATAGCCTTTGGAGGAAAAAGACATGTGACTGATATAATTAATAGGGCACTGCCGCTGCCCTGTGGAGAAAGGATTTGCTCCATCACTTATTTTCCTTTTTGGGTCTCTACTAGACTGTAAAGTCCCTGAAGGCAGAGCCCAAGACTTATTTGACATTACACACCTAACACTATGCTTGGTACACTGCAGGCACTCAATAAATGTAGGCTAAACAAAATTAATGACATAGGAAGCAAGGACACAGTTAATGCTTCAGCCTTTAATAGTATCCTCCATTGCAAGATACCTCCCAAAGTACATAGATTGCATGACAAATACTAATTGACCCTGACATTATTTAAAATGAAGCAAACAAAAAGCTCATATTCTCAAATGGCAGAAGTGTCTCTAGTCATATACCCATACAAAAGCTCAAATAGGAGCTTCTTATTTAATCCTCTCCTCTGTGTAGAGTTATTTTAAAAGTGATCACTGATTGCTTCCACTATTCTATGCCATTAGAATTACTTTTCTCTGCGTTAATAAACAGGAAAGGGCAAAAAAGAAGTCCAAATAACTTACTCTCCAGTTGTCGAAACACTGCTGACTTGTGACACATGAGCACTGTGAAAAAGAAGCAAAGAAATGGAAATTCAGATTACACAGGAGGTCAGAGACCATGAACCAAGCATCTAGAAGGAATCACGGGCTGAAGGAATTAGCAAGGCTTCACGTGGCCCTCACTCGATGTTTAATCATCCACTGTTGGATGCTGATTATCACTTATTTCTAGCAATAGAGATGGCCCTGGTTGCTTATTCCTGAACAGTGGTTTTTTCTCATTTTTAAAGGTGCCTGTTGTTGTTAGCTGCCATAGAGTTGGCCCCTGACTTCAGGCAACTCCATGTGTTACAGAGTAGAACTACCCTATAGGATTTTCTTGGCTGTAATCTTTACAGAAGCTGATCATTAGGCCTCTTCTTCCATGGAGCTCCTGGGTGGGTTTGAACTGCCAATCTTTCAGTTAGCAGCTGATTGCAAACTGCTTGTGCCACCAGGCTCCTTTTAAAGATGTCTGTGACAGACAATTCCACAACTGACCTCAGAAAACTGTCTCTTCCTCTCAGTCACTGCCACAGCCCTAGTTCAGGATCTTTTCATTTTCCACAAGGTTAATGCAATGGCTGCTGATTGCCTTCCTGCCACCAACTCTCCCTATCCCCATATCTCCCCCACATGACTCCAACCCCCAGGCCTGCAGATGGAAGCACCTTTCTGAAACTCATCTCTGAGCAGGCAGGGGGCAGGGATCATACAGGAGAGAGAACAAGGAACTAATATTGTTTTCCACATAACTATTTCTAAACCATCATTTCTAAGCCACCCTTTCATCCTAAATTCCTCAAGATGGAAAACATCTTAAGCTCTATGTTTTGTATTAACATCTAATTTGCAGCCCTTTTTGTTGAGCATTTATGAACTTCTGCTAGTTTCCTATTTTCTCTAAAGCCCAAATTATCTACAAATGCATTAAAAAATTTGTCAATATCAATTTGAATGATGAAATTATAAAACATTATCTGATTACACCTTTCAGAAATTCCTCTCTTGCCTGTGCTCTATGTGCATATAACCATGAATGAGGGTTGAGGTTGGTAGCTATTTTAACTGTATTGATAGGGTTACTTTTGCACATTCTGCCCTCTAGTGCTTAGTTGGCTTCTAAATCAAGAGCCAAGACTGCTATACTTACAAAAAAGGTAAAATATTGAGCAGAGTTTTAAAAACCTTTAGCTCAAATCAAACTATAGTTTTGCCCAATAGTTCTAAAGCTTCTCTATTTTTCTGCCTTCTTTGCACAAGACACTTAAAGAAAATAAAATCTGTTAATGACTGATACTGATGGCTACATTCCAATTATTCCAAATATCCTAAGTTATATTATATAATTTTCAGCATATGAATATGTTGATTTGGAATCATCTGCTGTTTTTTTCTTCCAGGTAAGAGTATATCTTATCTCTTTCAATTCAGAAATTAAGTGCCTCAAGGGATTGTATGATATTTCTCACTTTCTGTTACTACACTCCTCACAACTGCCACCATCATACCCAGCATAATACTCAACATCCCAGAGATGATCAACAAACAGTCTTTAGCTTCAGATAAGTACCTTTATTTAAAGTTGCAGCTCTTTGTCACGGCCGTAGATCACAGCTACAGCCCAGGAAAAAACGTAAAATCATGCTATTGTGCACAAGGGAAATTGATGAAAAGAATCATATGAAAATAATTTTTTAAAACCCTAACATTTACTGAATACTTACAGCGTTCCAGACACTATGGAACACGTTGTTATTGTTTATTGTTATTGTTAGTTACCATCAAGTCGGCCTTCAGCTCATGGCAACCCCATTTGTTACAGAGTAGAACTGCTCCACAGAGTTTTTTTTGGCTGTAATCTTTATGGAAAGCAGATTGCCAGGCCTTTTCTTCCACAGAGCTGCTGAGTGGGTTCAAACTGCTAACCTTTTGGTTAGCGACCCACCACAAACTGCCTGCACCACCCATAGATCCTCTCATTTACTATTACAATAACCTATGAGGTAGCTACTATTGTTTTCTGTATTTTCAGATGAAAAGATTAGAGAGGGTGAATAACTTGCCCACAATCATGGAGCCAAAAGTGGTTGAGCTGGGATTTGAACCACGAAAGTTTTAGTCTAGAGTTTAAGCTTTTAATCACTACACTAGACCATCTTACTAGAAGAGAAACTCACTAGAGTCATCTTTGTATATGGAGGCCTAGGTTTAGGTATTTTACTTCGTTTTTAATTACAACCATTTCTCTTCTGCCTCACAATGCTTGTTATTCATAGTGGTTCCCAGGTTACATAACCAACAATAAATCCTTTGCTGCTCTGTTTACCCTTAACTGCAACAGGCAGTCCCTGCTTTTGATGCTTTGTGGCTCACTCTCTGTAAATTCAGCACTGTATAATTAACTCCCGTACCCCACTTCTCAATGCAGTTACACAACTTTGGCTTTGGGAGCAGGGACCACTGTGAACAATGACTCAGGGAAAACCTGGAAGAGTCAAAAGGATGTAGATCTGCCAGATGCTAGAAAACATTCCAAACATAGAAGTATAGTTAGCCAATTAGTCCACCATCTCAAGAATAGATTTGACACATTGAACACTAATGACTGAAGACCAGACGAGTTGTGGGATGACATCAAGAACATCATACATGAAGAAAGAAAAAGGTCATTAAAAAGACAGGAAAGAAAGAAAAGACCAAAATGGATGTCAGAAGAAACTCTAAAACTTGCTCTTGACTGTAGAGTAGCTAAAGCACACAGAAGAAAATGATGAAGTAAAAGAGCTGAACAGAAGATTTCAAAGGGCAGTTCGAGAAGACAAAGTATTATAATGAAATGTGCAAAGACCTGAACTTAGAAAACCAAAAGGGAAGAACACACTCAGCATTTCTCAAGCTGAAAGAACTGAAGAAAAAATTCAAGCCTCAAGTTGTTATACTGAAGGATTCTATGGGCAAAATATTGAACAACGCAGGAAGTATTCAAAGAAGATGGAAGGAATACAGAGTTACTGTACCAAAAAGAATTGGCCAACATTCAACCATTTCAGGAGGTAGCATATGATCATGAACCGATGGTACTGAAGGAAGAAGTTCAAGCTGCACTGAAGGAGTTAGTGAAAAACCAGTCTGCAGGAATTGATGAGGTTTCAACAAATGGATGCAATGCTGGAAGCACTCAGTCGTCTACGCCAAGAAATCTGGAAGACAGCTACCTCGCCACCTGACTTGAAGAGATCCATATTTGTGCCAAAGAAAGGTGATCCAACAGAATGTGGAAATTATTGAACGATATCATTAATATCACATACAAGAAAATTTTGCTGAAGATAATGCAAAAGCAGTTGTAGCAGTACATTGACAGGGAACTGCCAGAAATTCAAGCCAGATTCAGAAGAGGACCAAGGTCTTTATTAAGCAGAATTATGAAATAAAGATAGTTCACGGTACAAACTGTACCATTTTACAGATGAAGAAATCGAGACTCAGAGAAGTTTCAGATCTCACCCAAGTTTACAGTGCTCTGATTCCATGTCATGTAGTCTAGCTTCAGAGTGTATTCTTGATAAGAACACAATTCTTATTCTCAAATAATGTTATTTATATAAATCTGTGACTATACTACTAGTTATTTCATTAGAATTAGAATATATTACTAAGAGTGATATTACAGATTCAAGTGGAATTTTCAGCTCATAATTTATATATTCCAGAAAATTATTTCATCTAGATTTTTATGTTAGTATAAAATTGCATAGAGTGGTCTCTAATAGTTTTACACTTTTAGAGATAGCTGAATAATTTTTATAAAGTGGCATGAGTGCTTGAGCCCTATTTGTAGGGTGCAAAGTTCAATATGTGTATAAATATATGCTCATTTATTTAAATCTTACTAATGATATCAAATTCTCAATGTTATTTTGTAAATTTTGTTTGTTACAGATGTAAAGTTTTATGTATAAGTCCTATACTTCAAATGTGCTTGTCTATGTATCCTTGCTAATTTAAGAGTTTAAATTTATATAATTTGATGCTATGTTATTTGACATATATTTATTTGTAGTTTTTATATGTTCAATATACATTATATTTGGTAAAATAAATCTAGGTTTGTATCGCCTAATAAATTTGGCCTTGATTTTAGTTGTTCTGGTATTGATGTTGTCATCTCTGCTTTCTTTTTGCTCACATTTATCAGATATACATATGTCTATCTTTTTATTATTAACCTTTCTGTGCCATTTTGTTTTAGGTACGTCCCTTTTGAGCACAATTTAGTTCAAAAGACAATTTTTGAGTATCCTTAGCTTTTATTAGGTAATTTAATCCATTTACATTTACTGTCATGCTGATGTTGTTGTCAGGTGCCGTCAAGTCAGTTCGGACTCATACAGACCCTATATACAATCAAATGAAACACTGCCTCGTCCTGCATCATCCTCACAATAATTGCTGTGTTTGAGCCCATTGTTGTAGCCACTGGGTCAATCCATCTTATTGAGGCTCTTCCTCTTTTCTGCTGTCCCTCTACCAGGCTGACATATTTGTTCTAATTTTGTGTTGTTGCATTATAATTTCTTTAGAGCTTCCTTTTCCTCTGATTTCTGTCTTTGCTCTTATCTTCGTAGAGGATTTAGAATATAGGGATCCTATGTACAATTCTACTAGCAATTGCCTCTTATACCCATTCCTCCCAAATTATTAAAAAAAATTTTTTTAAGTAATTTTTTACTCCTGCTCCTTCTCCCCTACCTTCCATGTAAGACAAGAAATTCACTTTCTTTGTTCGTCCAAAAATGCTTATAAACAAGTCTCTACTTTTTGATTAAAAAATATTTTTATTCATCCTCAATTAGCTTGGCATACATTCATCTCTCAATTAGCTTTGATTTCTACTTCTATTAGTATGGTTTCTTCCTTAGAATCAATTATAATTTTTACGTTGGGAATCCAATCTCTGACCTTCGTGTCTAACATTCTCTCTCTCATAGTTTTTATCTTTATCCTTTTCCTCTTGACTC